ATTGACACTATCCACGCTCTCCTCACCGGTTTTAGGCGCTGAATCACAATTCTGCGAAATGCTCTCACATGCATTCGATGAATCCTCATTTAAGCTGGCCACGGACTTAATGCCCAATTCTTTAGAATTTACATCTCTGCCAGCACTACCACCATTTTCCGTTGATGAGGTAATTTGTGAATCATCTTCTTCGGTATCAACACCATCTACGTCCATGCCTTCTTCTTTACTCTTGCCGGTGTTGTTGTTGCTGTTGTTATCACTGGATGAACCATTCTGTTGTTGTCCTTCATTAACATTCCTGTTACTGTTGTTTGATTCATTATTTTGAATATCGCCCGTCAATGCAGAACTCTCCGGAATAGAAACATCAACTTCTGTCATGTTTCACAACTTCAAGCGTAACTTTTCTAGTTGTTTATCTTCAAGTTAGTTAGTTCTTTAAGTAAGCCAAATAATTAGTTAGTTGATTAGATCTGAAAGGAAAGAAGTTAAAATAAATTACACAAATAAACAATAAAAGATCTCAATAAAATTCATCAGATTGATTTTAGTTTTGACGTTAGTAAACAATAGTAAAGAAGTAAATTATCCTATAAGATTGATTTCAGTTTTGACGTTAGTAAACAATAGTAAAGAAGTAAATTATCCTAACGTATCGATGGGTAGGTTATTAATTAAATTCTCTGAAGCTAGGAAAAGTAGACAAATTTAAATTTGTGTACATTTTATTGCAGATTCTATATGTATGTAAATAAATATGTATGGAATATGTAATAAATATGTATATAAGAATATGAACAAATTAATTCATTAAGCACTAAAATAATACATTTATCAAAAATGTACATACATGTATATATATATATATATATATAGTATATATATATATATATATATATATATATATATATATATATATATATATATATATATATATATATATATATATATATATATATATACATAGGTATAGTACATCACAACTACACTATGTAAATAGACTTGTAGTATATAGCCAAGTGCAGTAGCTGCTCTAGCAACAGAATAAGTACATAATGAATTTATGTATATACATATAATATATAAACACATACTCATACAACCCATTATGTACGAACAGCGTGTAAAAACAAAATAAATAGACGGTGAGTTGGGCTCACCGTCAAGTCAATACGAATGACTGACAAACAATTCCAAATAACAAGCAAGAAATTTAAAGAAAAGTTAGCAAAACACATTGTACCTACCACAAACATACATATGTATGTACATATGGATATCGAATGTTCATGTATGTCGAGCGAGTAGAATGGAGTAAATTTTGGTTTTTAGTCAGTCCGTCAGTTGGATAACACAATAATATCAAAATTAAATAGTGAGTTTGCAGCTTCTACTAAAACATTAAATGAAGTAGAGAAAATCAACGTGGTTTTTATAATGTCAGTTGGATGAATTTTTTTACCTCATACTTTGTCCTGCATTTAGTCTAGTTAAGTTAATTGTAATAGCATCGGCCAATTTTTTGGAATGGTCTCACTTAAGAGTTTAACATAATGTAGGAATTGTACACCAGGCCATCAAGGAGGATGATATTGCTCAGTATTAAGTGCTGAATGGTAGTGACAAACGCGGAACGATGGTGGAGAAAGAGTTTGTGTATTAAAAATAATTATAAAGTTTTTTGACCGGTTAACGGTAACGCATTGAATCCGGACGATCAAAACAAAACACACTACACTCTCAAGAACCAACAAACAACTAAATGTTGCCAAACAAAGAGTAGCGTCAATGGGAGCAAGAGTATAGCACTGACAAACTACAGAATGGTTGAAGAGTTGTATTTAAAACGGATGATTTTTCGTAGTAAATAAAATTATAATTTAAACTTTTGTACAAAATTTCTTGTTGGATTTAAAACAAATACCTATTTTATGTAAAATAAATTTAAAATAAATAATTTAAATCTCAATTTAAAAAGACTTTCTTATTAAAACCAAAAATCCCAACAAAAGAATAATTTGACAATAAGTTTTTAAATTATTTAGGTATGAATTTTTAATTATGTATTTGATAAATAATATAATAAATAGTAACAAATTTGAAAGTTATTTGTAAAATTAGAATATATATTACTATATAAAAAATATATATGTACAAATATTAAAAAATCATGTTCCTCGAAAAATCGTTTATAGAAAAAAATAATATACATACATGTATGTATGTATATGTATGTATAAATTGTAGGTATAAAACGAAGGCAACACTGACGAAAGTAGTGCGAAATTACCATATTAAATAAATAAATAAAGTTATAGTATAGTGTATTTCCCAAATTATGGTAAATATTATATAACGTTATATACAATATTTGCTATTTTAGTTCATTACCACATATTTGTATTTTGTGGATACAAAACTGTACCTTTAGATATCAACACTGTCAAAAGACACAGATATAAATTCGAATGTTCTCTTGCTCTAAATAAGAGGGTTGCTTTCGTTAATAATGAAGGAGAAAGCATTTATAGAGAATATTTAAAGAGAAACTAAATTACTCTTAAACAGCATACTATTTGCCATTCTATAATAAAATGAATTTCGTAGAAAGATATTCAACAATTTTTTGACAATTTCATACACATTAAATAAAACACATTTTACTACTATGGATTAAATTGCCACGAATATCAAAAACAAAACAAAAAACAAGGAGAAAAACAAATATTCTCATTAAATGCCGCTTAAATAAACTGTGTGTGTGTTCACCGAAACTAAATATTACTGTGTGGACGACCCAACAACTGGTATGCAACATTATGATGTCAATATTAAAGAAGGAAAATTGCAAAAAAAATATATTAATTATAAAATAATTAAAATATGGCTACGAATTCATTTTAGAAGCCAATGCTGCCGTCGTGTTCGAATTTTGTTTTTTAAAACATTGTTTAGAACATAAATATTCGAAACAAGAACAACAGAAAAGAGAACAAGTTAGAAAATGGAAACGGACAATAAGTTGATAAATATAAATAAAACAAAATTGTAATAAAATATATGAAATATAAACTAAAAAAGAAGAATACAGATGAAAAAATCAAACGAAAAAGAGGTTGAGTTTTATATATATATATATATATATATATATATATATATATATATATATATATATATATATATATATATATATATATATATATATAGTAATAAAAAAGCAATCCAATGTAATAATAAAATATGTATGCGTGTATTTTTCCTTTTAAAATTTTATTCCAAAAATACAAGACAGAATTATTTTACAATCTTTTACCTTTTCCAACTACACTATTTTTTACTATTGAATATTTATAACAAAACTTTAATCATTTTACTACATATTTCTATATGATATTAATTACCTTACAATGCAGTGACATCATATTAGCAAAAATTATCCTATTGCAAAACTACAAAGGGTTTAAATTTACAAATTATAAAGTTTTTTACTTTTTACCCATAATTTTTTAAGTTCATTTCATAAAATTATGAAAAAACCAGGGACTGTAAATAACTGTTATTCTGAAATTTTTAACTCAAAAAATCTCTATGTTGGAGTCAACGTAGACCTATACTATTATATACCAATATACTCGTATTGCTGTACTTTTTCAGAATATATGGTGATTTAAAAAAAATGATCTTTGCTCCACAAATAACAGTTATTTTTTAACGGAAAAACAAAAGTCTGATTGAAACAGTTAAAAAATGTGTTTTATTTTTCCGTCATAAAATAAGAATTATTTGAGGAGTTTTATTTTTTCCATCAGAAAATAAAACTCATTTGTTTTCCCCGTCAAAAAATCAAACAATGTATTTATATATTTTTTCAGTATTCTATTTTATTGAGTTTATCTGAGCAAGTCCATTAAATACTTGATTTGAACTGACGTTGAAAACATCTGAATCAAAAACGGTAAATGGTAATTTTCTGTTATGACTGAACACAAGCTTTTTTAATTTTTTCGGAAGGCATTATTATTGAAAATGAGTTTTATTTTCTGACGAAAAAAATAAAGTCCTCAAATAATTTTTATTTTAGGACGGAAAAATAAAACTCTCTTTTTAAAAGTTTCATTTGAATTTTTATTTTTAGGTTGAAAAATAACTTTTTCAGATTGATTTTTATTTTTAAAGTCACAAAATAAATGTTATAAACTGACTTTTTTAATATAACTTATAACTGTTACGGTCCCTGGAAAAACTTATTATCGTATGTAGATTGCTCAATGATATTTAGCTTTAAATTTCTCCAGAATCTTCGAAATAAAGTATTCCAAAACCGAAACCGGAAAGCAGTTAACTGGTTTTTTCTTTTTTTGAAAACCGACCGGTTTCGAATAGTTCATATTTTCGAATTATTCGACTGGACGGTTTTTTGTGTCGGTTAACCGGTCGGCCCTAACATACGTAGAGTTTTATCCTGCACACTCCATTTTACTGTTTTCATTAAGAAGTTGATTTAACGCTCGTTAGATAACATTTCAAGAATTATTTGAAGAATTCTTCGTAAGTTAAATATTTTTAAGGTATTTTTTTGCCTAAAAAGTATTTTTCTGTACGTATTATGTGTTATTTTCGGAAAATATATTTCATTATTTTTGCAGACAAAATTACCATTAATAGAAAATGCAATTTTTCAAGACCGTTATTTTTCGAAACCGTTAATAAAAATCTAAAGATCATAAGGACTGTCCACAATCTTCGAATATGGCATGGGAAAAACAGGCAGACCTCCAGCAATTAGGATGTTGGAATCGCAAAAATATCAAGGTTTAAAAAATCAATTTTAAATCAGAGTATTTAATGTTGCAAGAAATTATTCTTAAATTTTTAATTTCGAAATAATTTGTACAGTAATAAATTTGTAATATTGAATTACCTGTTTTACAGCATTAATATTACATATACATATATTTAGAAATACATATGTATGTATTTAGGAATATATGGTAGTTTTATTGGTCCTCCTCCTCTTCCTCGGGGTTAAAGGATAACTTAACTATACTTTTAACGGACGATTTTTGTCTTGGTTTGTTTTGTTTGTCTTTGTTGTTTTTGTCAGCCTTAGTATCTTTTGTTGAAGTTAAAACAGACTTTAAAGATAAATCGTCTCCAGGTTTATGGCGTTTGCGAAATACGATTGGTTTATTTAAATCTGCAGGTTCTTCTGCAGCTTCTGTGAAAATAAAAGTATAATAATGTTAATACACATAAAAATATATACATATGTGTGTATGTATAAGTTTATAAGTTTGTATGTATACGTTTTATCTCAAAATCGGTATATGACCCGTAGTGCAATGTGTGTCTATCCATAATTTCAGGTAGTATTACAGGTCATATTTATGATTAGAATTAGAAAAAATTGGTGATCACAATCCACATATTAAGATTCATATTCCCACCAAATTTTATTAAAATCAAACTTTATCTTTAAATATTTTGTAACAATTTTTGAATTTTCAAAAGAGTAAAAACAGTATGGTATAAATTAATACATATTGGAAACAAATTAAAGTAGGTTGTCTCTATTAGAGCTAGTTGAAGTCGTAATCTGATTTCAATAAAATTTAGAGGAAATATTTTCCTGACTTTGTAGATTATGCCACAAAGTTTTTTCAATTTATATTCATAATTATGACCTATGACCCCATCCGAAAATTGGATAGACGACTTTGCACTGTGGGCAAAAAAGTGATAATGGGATAACGGGTATATTAGAAATTAAGTATGTACCTTTAGTTAATATTAGAAAGAAAAATTGTGACATAATCTGTATCGGCATTAAATAAATTAAATTTTAAAAATGTCATTGTATTGAAATAATAATGCACTATAGCTCGAAAACAACTAGTGATAATCAAAAATAGTCTTTAGCCAAAATGTAGGAAATAACTTAGCCTATATAGGTCATAATCGGTTATAAATTTTTACCTATGAAAGTTCCTAAAAATCTTATTTTTGTGACCTTTGGCCGGCAATATTTCGCTTAGCGCACTTGAGTTGTTATCACTCATTTTTCTTTTATCATTTTTAAGTTCTTATTTATATATATTTGTAACCGCTTATGGCCTATAGGCTAGGTTATTGAATATTGTTAAATAAATAAATAAAAAAATATTTGGAACTTAAGTTTTTGGCAACAAATAGTAATTAGGTTCCTGATGTAAGTAGGTTCTTGATGACACAGCTACCGCTTTATGTAATAATTTAACGGAATCACAATCTCGACAAATACAATAATTATACAGCCTAAATAAATAACATCTTTAAATAGTACATTTAATTTCTGAAAGTGGGAAAGCTTACTGGCTCCATTTAAAAAACGAACATGTGCGAATTAAAAGAAGAAAAAATTGATTTTCTGAAAGCTGGTTTTTAAGGGGGCGAGGGCCAACAATGGTCCGATTCTCATAAAATTTAATGAATGGATGTATTTTCTTTCTTTGATTCGTAAAGAAAAATAGTTAAACGTTGTTTTGAGTTACTGACTACAAACATGCATTTGCGTAGAAATCCTTACCCTGCTTATTAATAATGGTAAGTAGACGCTATGTACCAATTTTCATTTAGCTATCTAAAATTCCGCAGCTATATTCCTGGGCTATTATTATAGCAATAAGAATATATTTGTTTAATTTCAAAATATTTTAAAAACAAGAAAAAACTTAATTATTACAAGTTTTTATTTAACTTGCTTTGTTAGTTTGTTGGTTTGTAATGGTACAAATTTTGTAGCTGAATTTTCGACCAGTTCCTGTATCCCGATTCAATGGAAATTTGGAACACACCTGACGACAACACAACTTTATGTTCGAAAAATCGAAATTAAATTCGGAGTTCAGTTAGTATGTTGTTGCAAAATCTAATTCAATTTTTAAAACGCTCCCAGTAGCTCAAATTTGCTGAAATTTGGAATATACCCTGGCGTGCAAATGTGAGTGCATGTTTGTAATTTGTGCACTTTATTTGAATAAAAATAAAACTACAAAAGCAAATCCAAAAATTTTTCTGATTTCTTTTTTAGTTAATATTTAACAAAATGAATTACAATTTAAGCCAAAAAGCTTAAATTTCTATGTAAAAAAACAAAAAAAACTAAGCACTCAGGGGAGGCTAGCATTTCAAAATTTCAAGGACTGAAAAGTAAAAAGTTATGTCCAATTCTTTATTGTAAAATAATATAGAACAGAAACTTCTATATTATTTTATATATATGTATATATATATATATATATATCAACATAAATAAAAATACAGTACAAAAGACCTCGATCTAACTAAATACAACTAAAATTAAATAGGTTCTATATTCCTATATTCCATTCAAACTTGTGTGTTTTAAATATGATATTTATATAAAATTCCACAGTGTGACAATATAAACTAAAAAAGGAATATCTGAGAAGTGGTACTATTCTTCTGATATGTATTATCGAGTATAGGACTTATTAGAAAGGTCTTTAAGACATTCAATTTTACTTGAATTTACTTAGATCGAGATCTTTAGCGCTGTATTTTTATTTTTATAAATTATTTTACACATTAATGGTAATGGAAAATTAATGCATTAATTTTATTACTTTTTTTTATTAAATAATAAATTTAATGTTAATGGAAAATTAATGCATTAAATTCAAAAATATTTAATGTTAATGCAAAATTAACGCATTAATTTTTAAAAAAAATTATGTTAATGCAAATTTAATGCATTAAATGTACCCATGTTATGCAATAAACTTGTATTAATATTAATTTTTTTTAATGTAGAAAAAATTGTTAATGCATTAACACATTTAATGCATTTATCCCAGGTCTGATAAAATATACATATGTACATTAGAGTGTTCCGAGGAACAGCCTATTTAAGAATTTCATGTAGGAATACCACTCAATCGATTCGTATTAATGTACTGAACACGAGAAAAATAAAAAATATTTTTTTTGTAATGGTCCTCAGTTCCCTACCAGTGATTGAAAATCATGACCTCAGTATAATTTTGAAAAATAAAATATTTTGGATTTTTTTGAAATGGGATTCAAAAATTCTATATAATTTTTGTAGAATATTTTTGGTCCACAAAATTATTTTTAGTTGCCTGGAGAGTCATATTATTTTCACTTTTCATCGAAATGGGTGTCAAAATTGTCGTTCTTCGGGACACTCTAATGGACATATATGAACAATTTTTTCATATATGGATGCATACATATAACAATATGTGGAGAATTAAATCTTATATGGACGCATATATGAAAACTAGTATCATTTATGGACGCATATATGAACTGTTTTGTCATAAATGGGATCATATGTATATGAACATACATATATCCATAAATACATAGTTTATTTTGCCTTATATGAAAATAGATTTTCAGTTCCAAACACTTGTATTATATAAATTGATATTGTTATAATAAAATGGAATGCATTTGGTTGTGATAATCGCCTAAAGATAAATCAAAAAATTGCGATAACTAATTGGAACCTCCATTTTTTATTAAAAAATTTTTAAGTTAAATTTAATTTTGATAAAAATTTAATTGTATTTTGGAAAATATTATTTTTAATTTAATGTATAAAAATATTTTACATCATTATTTTTAGGGCTATTAATGAAAATAGGCCAAAGAAATACTCCTTCCCTGGGTAGATCCATTTTTGAACTTCATATAGCAAGGTCATCAAGGCTTGTAAAAAACTTAGTTGTGCCGCTTTTTATCGATATACAGGTATATTTAACATAATTATGAGCTCAGAAGCCCTTTCGGGGGTTCTGCTGTATGATTGCTAGGTGAAATAATGGACCGATTCAATATGCTTCGTCCTTGGGTCAAAAAAAAAAAAAAAAAACGTGTGTGCCAAATTTCATCCAATTATCTTGAAAATTGAGACCTGTACCTTGCGCACAAGGTTTACACTAAATCGACTCAGAAAACGATTCTAAGCCGATTGGTATACTTTAAGATGGGCATAGGACGACTAAAGTAGTGTAGGGTATAAACATTTTAAATGTTTTGAACTGAAAATCTATGGTTATATTTTCATAATTTTATACAAATCAAATCAAGCAATAATACAAAGAGAGCGTTTCCAATAAGCTAACCACAGCTGTATATATATTCATATCGTCACCTGAAATGCAAAAAGGCGTGTACATACGTACGTACGTACATATTTATGCATAAATGTAAAAACATGTGTACTTTTTTATATGAGGAAAGGAGAAATTTATGAATATGTATGAACATACAGTGAATCAAATAAGTTTTTTGCCTACCTTTTTTAAAGAGAATTTTGGTTTTTGTTCATAAATAAAATTTTATAAAACTGGTAACAAGTAAATTTCTGTTTTACAATTAAAAAAAGAGATTGTGTAAAATGGGAAAACCAAGAAAAAATATTAAAATACAAATTTTGGTACATTTGTTGTTGCATTTTATTATTTTTCATCAGCATTTGCAGGTCAATAAATTATTTTGAATTTTTAGAATTCAAGATAATTTCGTTGGGGTTTTCAAATTATTTTTTAATTACTTTTTGGAATTTATTGTTTTAATGTTGAAAGGACACGTGTTAAGTATTTTCCAATTAGAATTTGCAAAAATCATATCCTCATTGTGTGAAACTGTGAAGTTATTTGCGTTAAAAATGTTTAAAGGAAAATAATGAGGCAATTCCAATATAAAAAATTTGTTTAGATTTAGAACAAGAGTAAATATGTTATGAGATGTTTAATCAATATCATAAAAAAATAAAAAATAGAGTAATTGATGAAATAACCCAAAGAATTATTAGAAAAAATACACTGAGTGATCTTTCAAAAGCTTTAACTGCCAAAGGGGAGCGACTTGTATGCGAGGAAAAAAATTGAACTCCTTATTTTTCTTCTCCAAAGTCTATATACCAACTAGGAAGAACACTACATTAAAATTTAGACCTCAAGACAGACCTCAAGTTACTTGGAACCAATATAAAGTGAACTGTCGTGTGGTACAGAAAAAATATCAAATTTAGATATTTACATATAGAGGTGGTTATCATCACCTAAGGTCCACAAAAGCAATATTTTTCAGCTAACACATTCATTTATAAATATTTAGAACCCAAATCAGGAATCCAGATCCAAATATGGCTACTGTATTTGATTCATAAAATAAAGCATTCAAAATATGAGGCAGAAAATCAAGATTTTAGCATGTAATAGTTCTATAGTGGTATGCGGTGATGTCCCCATACTTAAGAGTGGCTAGGATGGTATTTAGTGTTAGCTTTATTGAATAACAATCAATATTATACAATTCTAAATAAAATTCATACAGTACTCCCCAAAAAGTTGGGGTTTCCATAGTGTAGTTTTTGTTTATCAATGCAAAATGACCAAAAACCTAGATTATTTTGTTATAATATATAGTTTTATACCCCACTAAACATTTTTTCTAGATTCAAATCCATTGATTTTCTAGTATATCATGTATCTAATTCAAAATTACTTATCATTTTTGAAATAAAACCAAAGAAACGATAGATTTCATGTTAAGTCAAATACTGATAAATTCTTATAGGTATATAGGATAATAAATCGGTTAAGAATTGTCCAAATTTAATCGTACCACTACTAAAATATCTAAAAATTGTTATTTTAATATATAGAAGAATATTAAATTTTATAAAATAACATTTTATCAAAAATCTCGTTAATTAATATCACGATTTTACTTTTTTTGGTAAAAAATTAAAATATAAGATATCCTTTAAAAAATACAACAAAGAAATTGCATAAATTTGCTAAAAATAATTGTTCAAAGTTTTTTCTTAAAATTTATAAAATTTGACATAGGCAAATTACTTAATTGATTCACTGTATGTACATATATGGTAATTTATGTTCATATGTTCGCCAAATTTCGGATCCGAACATATATGGAGCTTCATATATGACCATATATGGTCCCATATACATATGAACATATATGATAATTTTTGGCTAGGTAAGGAAAGTTTTTACAAACGATTTGAAAGATATTATAAATTAAAATTATTTAATGCAAAATAAGTCATAATAGCATCTGTATCTCATTCGATTTTCAAAATGAAATGGGACCCTAAAATAACTAAGAGTTCATAAAAGGACTTTTCTTTACAGAAGTAAGGAAGATAAAGCCTGAACAAGAAAATGGAAAGTGTCTCCTAAATTCTATTTCGGCTAAAGAAGCAAATGAATCTTATTATTTGTTTCTATTCTTCTGTGACCAGTGATTACATACCTAGAAACTCTATAATATCTGAAAGATAATGATACTAATTTAGAATCATTAAACATATATTCTAATGTTAAAAGACTCTTCTTTAAATATAATACATGCTTACCAAGTTCTGCACCTGTTGAGAGACCATTTTTTTGTGGAATAATTATAAGACCACATAGACACAACATGAAAGGTGTACTTTTTGAACAAAAATTTGCTTTAAAATCTATTAAATAAACTATTTTATTTTAGAAAACTATTTTGAAAATAATAATTTTGTATTTTTTATTTTAAATAACTTTACTTAAAAACATTTTTTTGCGTTTGCAAAACAAAAATAAAAAAATATTTGCAATTTGAATTAAAGTATTTAAATAAACTATTTTTCACAATTCTGTAAGTCCTTACATAATTCCTACGAAGATATCGAATTCTCTAAAAAATCGGGTTCATAAACATATGTTTTTAATTCAAATTATGTAAAATAGTGCCTTAGTATAAAAATGTGAAAATTTGTGCATAATTATTGTCAGAAATTAGTCATCTCAAATAGCCTCTAATTCATTCTAAAATATAAAATACTTAAAATTAAATAAATTATTTTTTAATTACAACAAGAAGCTTGTTTATTTTTTCTGAAGTAGTTGAAGATTTAAAGTTATAAACAATAAAATTCAATTTTGTTTTCATTTTCTAATAGCTTACTAAATATGCCTACTAATGATAAACAAATTTGTATTAAACTTCATTCTAAAAATCAACGATTTATGCTAATAAAGAACAATAACGACAGTGGGAAGTTTAATAGACACTGTCCTAAATGTTTGGGAAGCGAATAGTATGCATAGATGTCCTCACTCATGTCACTGCCATTTATAGTTTAAAAATGTACATATATGTACTTTGAGCTGCCTCCTTCTGCTCATCAATACAAAGATTGATTATACCTATGTACATATTTGGGCCAAATGTATAGGAGGAAGCACAAAAAGCGTTAGTAGAAATTAAAAAAAAAAAAAAAAAACACGCAGTTATTGGATGAAACCATTTTTGTTAATTCTATTTTAAGACGATAATTTACCGTTGACTCTTCTTTCTCCTCCATATTTCTGTTTCGCATTGCTGTGTTCCTTCTTTTTCGTAATATTTCCTTTTTAACTTTTATTCTTTTAAAAATAACACACAGACAGACTAACATGTCTGTCCGTCGATTTGACATTTGGTGGAGTGAGAAGGAAAGTGTATAAACGAACAGCAACATTTCCCAAGCAACCATATCACAGCAACAACACAAACAACAGCAACTATTATTTTGTTACTACAATATTAAACTTTAGCAACATTTTTAAACCATACCACTGCTGATTTTGTTGTTGTCGTGCTTATTTCAACTTTACTTTCCTAGCCTGCACGTTAAATTGTCCGTCCATTCATTTGACAGTCAGTTTGTTACATTGACTGTATGTTTGCTTATTTATCCGTCGTCTGTCCTATTCTTCATTTGCTTTGTTGCCCGTACCTCTCTAACCTATTGTTGGGTTTATTGCGCGGGCTGTTTTAGCATCGTTTGACGGCAGCTGTTGTTGTTGCACCATTATGCTTTGTGTTTCATTTTTATCATCATGTTTGCTTTAGCGGAGCCCCAGTATATTTTTTCACATTGAAAAATGTATGTATGTTTGTGAGAGTCTGCATAAACTCGTAGAATTTATACTAATTGAGGGTGCTCCGCTGGCAAAAATTGTAAAATTATTAAAATCCAACTATTTCTTTAAAGGGAACCGCATATTTTTTATGCAGATTACTGAAAATTAATTGTATTTAAGATATTTAAAAAAATCTGTAAATAATTTACATTTTTTAGCCACTTTTTGGGTTTTTTCGTTCATAAAATTTTTGAGGTTAGAAACTTTTTCTTTCAGGACTTAAAAATTTACCACAGAACTTAAGTTATTAAAAAGATGCTACAAAACTTACATTTAATAAAGGCATTTATTTAGTATTTTAATGTTTATTATTTCCTGCAGATATTTGCTTTGATAATATTGACGGCTTTATTTTGCTTTTTATAGTTTATTTATTAATTTCTTTGTATTGAACACCGTTATTTTATTCTTGAAATATAATTTTCTTGAAAAAAATACAATAATGTTAATTGTGAAAAACAATTTTCATTATGCTTGTTCTTCTTGAAATTGAGTTTTTTTTTTTTTTTTTTGTTCACAAATACACTTTTTTGTATTTTTTGTTTGCGAAAATTTGTTGGAAAAATGTACTGAAGAGGAGCGTGGAAACGGCACAAAGCAAAAAAAATAACTAACGACAGACACAACGCTCGACTCTGACTCAACTAAACCCAAAATGACAGCTAACTGACAGAATAAAAAAACCAACAACAATAACAAATATAAAGAAGCAACAAAAACAAGAAAGCAAGCCATGGACGGACGGACATAGCAGACGGACAGACACGAATATCATTTAACAACATAGTTGGTGATAGATAACGACTGTCGACAAGATAGATAGGTAGATATACATATGTACCTACTACCAAATATTCAGATTTTTAATTATTTACAAGGTTGAAGGACTGTATTTTTCTCACCTTTGGCTAAACGCTTTTCTTCAAGAGCTACTTCCTCTGCTGTAAGATCACCCGAATTTATTACAACTATTTGTGGTTTTTCGTCTTCACGTTCTGCCCTGTCTTCGTTATCGGAATCGCCTTCGAAATCTTGAAGTTTCTGTCTCTAAATTGGCAATATAATTATCCTTTAATAAAGTTTAATTTCAACTTTATATTCTTATAAAAATCACCTTTGTTTCAACTGAAGGTCCGTCCTTATAGCCAATTTGTTCCTTTAACTGTTGCAAAAACTTAGGATCTTGCGGTTTAATGTATGCAATATTACGTTTAGACATAGTTTTTAATTGTTGCACTTGAGAATGCCATTAAATTTGATATTTTTGCTTTTACACAGGCACTAAAAGCAAATTGCAATCAACCGGAATTTTTGTTTTTCAGTCACACGTTTTTCAGCTATGTTTACAACTAGGTAAATTGGCAAATTTGTTTTGTTGTGGTACCAAAGGAAAACAACACAGTGTTGTGTGTTGATAAGAAGTCAGAATGTCAAAGTTGTAGAGTTGTATTTTTTAATGGCAGTTCGACAGATTTGTATTTTCTATGCACAAGAACTGCCAGATTGACATTAAAAATATAGAGTGAAATCAGAACTCTATAGGGCTACCAGATTTGCGAAAGACCATACATTAAAGCTGTATGGTCACACGTCAAAATTTTGATCAAGATTTTTGTATGTGTTGTTTAACCGTTATCACAGGGTATACAGTGGCGTCACGAGCAAAAAACTATTTCTCTCTCTCTTTCGCACAAAACGATTTCAATGATTTTTTAGCTGTATTTTATATACCTCTTCTCACCAAACAATTTCAAAATCAAACAAAAGCTGATGTCAAAAGTGACACCTCTGTATACTTTGTGCCGTTATGTCAATACCCACATACCCGGGTATGTTTCTCATTTTTGAAGTGATATATCTCGAGATCTATATATCGTATCGGCTTGAAATTTGGACTATGCTTTCAGAGTAATGTTTTCTATACATTTCCAAAAATTAGTTAGATATATATATATTAAACCGATTTATGACTGATTTTCTATTTTTACCTCGTGTATCAATAATATTTGAATGTGATATATTTGTGGACCCTGTAACATTAACAAATATGGGCCGATTTTGATGAAATAAATTTTTTATTGTATATGACTTAGTAAAGTAAAATTATGCTGATTATAATAATTTTATTCTCATATAAACGAAAATATTTAAGTTTAAATTTTAAAATTTTAATTTTTGACCATGACTTAGCAATCTTTTTTTGCAAAAGAACTTCCCTACTTACGGCAGCAAAAACAATTTCATTAATGCTAATCGATTTTATACACCTTAATAATATATAAAAAGTTTTGTTTAATTATCTTTCCCAGTCACTGAGTAATTAATAGCTTATTGAAGTCAAAATTTTACAAAGGCAAATTCTGCATAATGTACATTATACGTTATGAAGGCGTTTTTCTTTAGGTTTTTTGCATATGATATTTTTGTTAATAGGAAAGCAATAAGAAAACTTTAAAAGAAATTGCTAAAATTTAATGGTTTATGATCAAAAACTATTTAATTTATATATACAGACGTTTTATTAAATTAGTTTTAATAATTATCTGAATTATACACTAGAAATGTATAAAAAGATGAAATAGCCATATATGTGAATTGTATGACATACCCGGGTATGTTGGGTATTGATGTAAGTAATTTTGCTCGGGTATAGACAAGACGGTTAAAGTGCTATTAGACGACATGTATTTTACAAAAATTATCAAATTATCAATTAATTATCAAAATTATCATCTGTAAAAGTTGCACACATCGTCAGATACATATGAAACATTGCATGTGTAAAATACATACACATGTAATTTTTTCGATTAGAGCGTGCTCTATTTTCATGTGACAAACATAAACATGAAATAAAATTAAAAAAATAAGAAAATTAATAAAGAACATGAAAGAGTAAGTATTTTTTTATTTTTAATAAACTAATTTATAATTTTAACAATTTTTACACATTAAAAAGACAGCTTTGATTACATTTATAGGTTATGTCATACGGAAAGCACAGGCAGGTGTGATAGCAAAAATTATGAATCGTACATAAAATAACAATTTTGACACACATTCGGAATTACATAAGTATAAAAAACTGACACTACATATTAGGGTTCTATAGTTGAAACGAAAAGTCGACTTTTCGACTTTTCGACTTTTTGCATTTAGTTAAAAGTCGACTTTTCGACCTTTCGACTTTTTCCATTTTATGAAAAGTCGATTTTTCGACTTTTCGACCTTTTTCATTTATTTAAAAGTCGACTTTTAGACTTTTCGACTTTTAGTATTTTATAAATGGTCGACTTTTCGACCTTTCGACTTTTCGACTTTTTCCGACTTTTTTCGACTTTTCGACTTTTTCCGACTTTTTTCGACTTTTCGACTTTTTCCTACTTTTTCCGACTTTTCGACTTTTTTCGACTTTTCGACTTTTTTCGACTTTTCGACTTTTTTCGAATTTTTCCGACTTTTTTCGACTTTTCGACTTTTTCCGACTTTTCGACTTTTCGATTTTTTACGACTTTTTGACTATTTTCGACTTATTTCGACTTTTTTTCGACTTTTTTCGACTATTTTTTTACTTTTTTCGAGTTTTTCCGACTATTTTAGAGTTTTTGATCACTTTTCCACTTTTTTAAAATTTTCGACTATTTCCGACTTTTCGACTTTTTTCGACTTTTCGACTTTTTCCGACTTTTCGACTTTTTCCGACTTTTCGACTTTTCGACTTTCTTCGACTTTTTTCGACTTATCGACTTTTTTCGACTTTTTTCGACTTTCCGACTTTTCGACTTTTTTCGACTTTTATTTACAAAGTCGACTTTTCGACTTTTTTCATAGACGATAGTCGAGTTATCGACTTTTTTGGAACAAAATAGTCGACTTCGACTTTTCGACTTTTTTCGACAAAAAGTCGATTGTTCGATTATTCGAAAGTCGATTTATAGAACCCTACTACATATGTACAATACATGTCGTCTAAAGCGACATGGCCACACATCAAATTTGTTGACTCAAACAGAAAGTTTTATAATTGTGTTAGTGAAAAAAACTCACATGTATATATGCGGCGTGAGTTTTTTTACTAACACAATCAAAAAACTTACTGTTTGAGTCAACCAATTTGATGTGTCGCCAAGGCGCCACCTTTATGCTTCTTTTGCTGATATATATTAGGTAGTTAGTTTGAAAGGAGGATGTACATATATACATCAAATCCGTAGAAAAATACCTATGCCTCTATCGGGCCTGTTGTGCGCTCCTTAACCAGTGCCTCAGGTGGGAATCGAACCCACCACCTCCGGTCTACCAGACTAAAACACTAACCACTAATCTACCGGAGGCCACGCTGGTATATATTACTAACCCATAAATAAATTTTGATCAAAATACCCTCTAAACAATTTTTGCCGAATTCGTGCCGAGAGTCTGCACAAGTCTGGAAGGTTGCTCAGAATTCGGAACTCTTTGCCTGACGAAATTCGGAAAAATGTGCAGAGTTTTCGGTCAGAATTCGGTACGAAATCTGATGTAAATTCTTGTGGAAATTCTGAAGGAATTTTCGACCAAAGTAAATTTATAAAGTAGACTCAGTTGAACAGCTGACTATTTTTTTAAACTTGCTATTTGTGGATTTACTTGTCAAAAATGTTTATGTTGCCATATTTGTTTTCATTTTAACGCTTGCTTTTGTACAAATTTCTGAGTAATTTGTTGTATTTAATGTGAAAAGGTGTATTTTAAGTGTATAATATTTTTAAAAATGTTCTAATTTTTAAAAAATAAAGAAAACTCTGTGACTTTTAATATAAATAACAACATATTTTTGGAAAGTACAACAATAATGCCATATTTTCCATTAATTATTGGTTCATTTTTGTAAACAAATTTTGACAAGTGAGTATTTCGAACAAAAACAAATTGCCTGTGGTTTTTGTAGACGTTTGTTGTACAACAACTCGTGTCGCTACTTTATTAATTTACTTTGTTTTCGACAAATCTGATTGAAGTGGGAAAAATGTCCGATATTATGTCTGACTTTCATTCGACAGTTCGTTCAAAAGTCTGATCAAATATAAGAAAGTCTGATTGATGTCGGATAAATGTCTAATAAAATGTCCAACATTCTTCGAAGTTCGAACAAAAGTCTGAAAGAGTATAAGAAATTGGCCTCACTATTCTGATCATCGTCTGATGAAAACTATTTTGATATACATACATATCGTGAAATGCAAACCAAAAAATGTAAAATTGACTGCATCAAAATACATGTTGTTGCAAATTTTTAGAACCCTGTTGTCAAAAATACCGACTTTATTAAAATGAAATTCAAATGGCGTAACAACAAATGAAATATTAACATACATACATATATGTATGTATGTATGTATGTATGTATGTATGTATGTATGTATGTATGTATGTATGTATGTATGTATGTATGTATGTATGTATGTATGTATGTATGTATGTATGTATGTATGTATGTATGTATGTATGTATGTATGTATGTATGTATGTATGTATGTATGTATGTATGTATGTATGTATGTATGTATGTATGTATGTATGTATGTATGTATGTATGTATGTATGTATGTATGTATGTATGTATGTATGTATGTATGTATGTATGTATGTATGTATGAATTTGAATCAAGAAAATTAATTATATTTTTTTTTAAATATTATAACGGTTTTTCGACAAATCTGATTGAAGTGGGAAAAATGTCAGATATTATGTCTGACTTTCATTCGACAGTTCGTTCAAAAGTCTGATCAAATATAAGAAAGTCTGATGTCGGATAAATGTCTAATAAAATGTCCAACATTCTTCGAAGTTCGAACAAAAGTCTGAAAGAGTATAAGAAATTGGCCTCACTATTCTGATCATCGTCTGATGAAAACTATTTTGATATACATACATATCGTGAAATGCAAACCAAAAAATGTAAAATTGACTGCATCAAAATACATGTTGCTGCAAATTTTTAGAACCCTGTTGTCAACCCTGACTTTATTAAAATGAAATTCAAATGGCGTAACAACAAATGAATTATTTCCACAAGTTTGAAAATCCCAAAAATGCAAAATAATAGGCAATATGTAAGAAAATGTAATTTTTATGTATGTATGTATGTATGTATGTATGTATGTATGTATGTATGTATGTATGTATGTATGTATGTATGTATGTATGTATGTATGTATGTATGTATGTATGTATGTATGTATGTATGTATGTATGTAGTATGTATGTATGTATGTATGTATGTATGTATGTATGTATGTATGTATGTATGTATGTATGTATGTATGTATGTATGTATGTATGTATGTATGTATGTATGTATGTATGTATGTATGTATGTATGTATGTATGTATGTATGTATGTATGTATGTATGTATGTATGTATGTATGTATGTATGTATGTATGTATGTATGTATGTATGTATGTATGTATGTATGTATGTATGTATGTATGTATGTATGTATGTATGTATGTAGTATGTATGTATGTATGTATGTATGTATGTATGTATGTATGTATGTATGTATGTATGTATGTATGTATGTATGTATGTATGTATGTATGTATGTATGTATGTATGTATGTATGTATGTATGAATGTATGTATGTATGAATTTGAATCAAGAAAATTAATTATATTTTTTTAAATATTATAACGGTTTTTTTTAAATACACGTTTTTGCATAAACTTTCAGTTCAGGCTATAAAGCTTTCTTCTTGCTAACAGCTGCTAATATGTATGTATACATACATACATATGTATGTATGTACATATATAAATAACTCCGTGCAAATAATAAGGGTTGTTGTTTCAAATATTGGTGTGTTACAGGGATTTAAAAACCATACATAACCTGGCATAAATAAGTAGTAAATAAGTTAAGAATTACACTAATTTTATAAAAACGCACAAGAAATTTTCGTCAAAAACATTATTAAAAATAGAAGTAAAAAATATTAAATTGAAAGGAATTGTTTGAAAACAAAGCACAATAATTTTTATTAACGCAAAAGGAAAGGTATTAAATTAAACATAAAATAATAATTTCTTACATCTATAACTATAAAAATAAGGATCGGTATCTAAAAATTATTCCACATTAATTTGTTAATTAACGGTTTAGTTTCTCATAATCAAAATTATGCCATATTAATTTGTTAATTAACAGTTTAGTTGTTAAAAATATCAAAATTGTTTAAATATAGTTAAAAAATCATTAAAATTCCTATACATTGTATTGACTATATTAGAGGAAAATAAAAAATTGTATTAGTATAGAAAGTTGTTGGTTAAAGAGCGCATGTTCTAAATTGTCTATATGAATTTTTATTTTAACCAACCATATGTAAAAAACGCCTTGAAAACTATACACAACGCACCTACTGTTGGCTTTAATCTTCGTTTCTATTTGTTTTGTTTTATTGAGCATTTTTTTGTTTACATTGACCCCAATTATGTCCCTGACGATTCAAACACCTGTACTTATTGGTAAAAATGTTGTAATGCGAATTATATTGTATGTACATATTTATTAATTTTATAGATTCAATGGCTGCTGTGTTAAACAGTTGTGCCACCAGCAACACGATAAGACAACACGATATTAATTTTGAATCGTACGAAGGATATCATCACCCACATTTAGGCCCATTATCTTCATTAACCTCATTTACGACAGCACTGGGAAGCCAACAATATTTGCATCAGTTGCAGTTATACGACACCACTACCATGTATCCTTCGCTGCCAAAGTATCACCGGTCTTCGGCACAACAGCAACTGACTACGCCTAATCACCATACGTCTGCATACGCAAATCATCATACCAATAGCGTTGTAAGCCATCATCAATTCAATTCCTCGTCGTTAGCGTATGGTATGCCAGTCAGTTCGGGTTATTCCTCACAACATTCCACTTTACAAAAACAATATTCTGCGGCATCAGTTCAGAGATCTTCGTCATCGGCGGAGGCTTGTCGCAGTTATTGGGGTCATAGTCATCCCACCTCTTCGGTACTGTACCGTAATGATCGCCATCAATCAAAGCGTAAATCTGCAGTAGAACTTTTGGCAGAAAGTAAGCCTTTTTTTGTAAAGACCGAAAATATTATAGAACGTACAAATTTTGGTGCCAGCACTCTGGTTTGCAGTGGAAAGAGAGGTCGTAATGGCTCTAGTGTGGTCTTGGATGAGGGTAAATACAATCCATCGTATGGGGAAACAACTTACACTGCCGCTGAAGCTGAAAGGCGTTACGGTACAACCAAGGCTCATCGTCGTTCTTCTCACATTCATCATCATCATAGCAACCATGCTTCTCAACAATGTTCTGCGAATAATACCATGTATCATGGTAAGTTCAGAATGTCGTTGTCAAGTGACGGTTCACAAGAACGCGATAAACTTGCTCGTTATCGCAAAGAACACTATGGCGAACCCCTAGTTTTAAATGAGGTGAGTAAATGGTGCTATATATACCTAAAAGTTTCCTAGATGAGAAGTTATTTTTTTCAGACAAAATCGGTTTCATTTGAAGAGGATGTGGCATTTCGCATACCTCCGCCTTTATACTTTTCTCAACAAAACTACAATAGTATGTATGATAGTGGCGACGAGCCATTGGTTTTGACCGAAAATTATAGACCTATAAGTCCTCCAGCTGAATATGCCGAGGATTCGACAGAAGTTCATAATGATACTAGACCAAGGTAAGTCTTTCTTTTAAATTATAGTTAATTTAAAGTTGAAGTTAAAAAAATTATTGAAAAATGTATATTGGTGCATATAATTTTGGATTTCTTAATGATTTAATTAGAGAAAAATTACATTTTTATTTATTACTCATTACATTAATTAATTCTGATTAAAATAACTTGTACTTATGATAGTTATAAGAACTTTGGTACATTTTTATCTATTTTTTATGTTGCTATCCTCAGTTCGAAGGAACATATTTTATGGATGTTATAATAGATTAGGAAACTGTCTTTAAAAAAAAGTTTGGGCAAAGTGCACCAAATTATAAATGTAAATGACAAAACTACAAAGTTTTATAAAAGTGTTTCTCGATATTTAATACAAACATGAAGCAATGATAATTTCACACACTAATAAAGATTTCGTATTTATTTTGCTTTATTTCATTAGACGATTTTCTCAGAATCATCTTCTGATCCATTGTGCGTTGTCTATGTATCCAAAAATTACAAGATGGTCACCATTCGTAACTGTGAATGTAATTAAAAAAAGTGGTGGAAAGAAATATTTACACCATATTTTATTAAAATCAGACTACGCACTCTGTGCCAGGAAACCAATTTTTGGACCAAAAGTAAAATTTAGGTTGAGAGGAAAAATAGGTTACACATTCTAAATTCGGGGGCTTTGGACTTTTTTATCATTGTGAGTTATTGCTTTTAAGTGGCATTTTTAATTTTTTTAAATCTAATTAAGATTTTTAGTATTATGCCTCGATACACGTTACCCAAATATTTTTTACTTTATTGATCATAAATACTTCTAAGAAACAAATATTTAATTTTTGGTTATGTTTTATCCGCCATTTTTAGTGCAGTTTATAGAATTTTGAAATCTGTATTCGGATTTGTAATCAGTGACCATAGATTTACAAAATATATTCATTGGAAATTCCTTTTAGTCAATATTTAGAAATGTTGGTCGCCAATTTAAATTTTTAATTTCTTCTTACAAAATACTAATCAGCGTCCCCGAAAACCTTATATGTGATATTTATTTATTACATAGATCCACTGCTCTACTCATTGCCAAAAATTTCATTTTTGTCTATGTTTGATCCGCCATATTGGATTCAGTTTGTTAAATTTAAAAAATTTTAATTCGCATTCGAAATCAGTGACTAAAGAACTAAAAAACGTGTTCATTCAATCAAATTCCATTAAGAAAACTTTTAAAATTGTGAATCGCCATTTTGGATCCGCCATTTTTATTTTTTAATTTTTTTTTCGCAAATTCTTAATCTGCGTATATCCACTGCTCTAAATATGGCCAAAAATCAATTTAGCTCGCCCTGTATGCAGAGACCGAAAATAACTCGATCACATAATCAAAGTATTTCAAGCTAGAGTGACCGAATGACGAATGTTTATGCATAACATGTTTCCTAGGGTGATCGCCACGGTTTTTCCCGACCGGTGTTTATCGGTTTTTTCAACATTGAGGAACTCGTTTTTTTTTGAAAATTTACTGTATCCGAATATCGAATAATCAGGTTTTTTTTATGTATTTTCTATATAACATACGATAATAGACATTTTAAAATAGTTTTGTAATATTAAGCTTCTTATTTTATATAAGTATTTCCAAACTCCAAGCATAAGCCGATTTTTTAACCTTTCTTTTTTTGCAAAATAAAACGGTATATACTCTTACCGTTCGTATTCGTATATAATATTTATTCTAAACTATATTATTGTATATACACTCCTCGCCACTTAAACAGCACATATATAAATTTTATATATTTTTGGATCAGGAATTTCTGGAAACTTGTTTTTTCCCCTCATTGTAATATTTTTCGTTCTGAATAAAAGGTGATACTAATGGTTGCTATATCTGTAATATTTGATTTTATATTTTTTTTGTAAATTAATCGAAAAAAGCTACTATTAAAAATTCGCCACTTGAAGAGAACATCCCCCAGAAAAAGTGATTTTATAGTAACTTTTGTAATTAAAACTTATTAATTTAGATTATTTACAACGATATAAATTAAACTAAGCTATTTTAGTAATGTGTTGAAATTCCTTCCACTTCACAAATCACAAAATCGTGTTTGGAAGTGATTCATATAGCTTGGCCATGTAATTCAGTTGTACTGAGCTCCAGACTTCTTAATCTTTCCGGGCAACCCATTCCTACAAGCTTTCTATAATGTTTAAGTCTGGTGAATATGGAGGGCAGCTCAACAATTCAACATTTTGGAACTCTATATAAGATTTTACGATCCGGGCAGTGTGGATCGGGGCGTTATCTTGTTGTAGGATCCAAGGGCTAGGTCCATATAGGTCATTGGAAACCGAAAAAAATCTTTTTTATTAACCCAATGTAGTTCTTAGCATTTACACTTGAGCTCACAAACTGAAGCTCGAAGGTGCCATAATAGGAAACTGCTCCCCAAACTATGACACCACCAACACTGCTATGCTAGACGATTCATATAATGTGGTTCCATCCGAAGGGCATGAAAATAGTACTTACATAGCAGTGTTGGTGGATCCATACTGCCCGGATCGTAAAATCTTATATAGAGTTCCAAAATGTTGAATTGTTGAGCTGCCCTCCAGACTTAAACATTATAGAAAACTTGAGGGAATGGGTTGCCCAGAAAGATTATGAGTCTGGAAAACAGTATTCAACAATTCCTGAACTAATCTATGCAATTAAAAAAGTCTGGAGCTCAGTACATTTGAATTACATGGCCAAGCTAAATGAATCACCTCCAAACAGGATTTGTGAAGTGTTAGTCAATCAAGGAGGTTCAACACATTACTAAAATAGCTTAGTTTAATTCATATCGTTGTAAATAATCTAAATCAATAAGTTTTAATTACAAAAGTTGTTATAAAATCACTTTTTCTGGTGGATGTTTTTTAATTTATATGAAATCAAATATTACAGATATGACAACCATTCGTATCACATTTTATTAAGAACGAAAAATATTACAATGAGGGGAAAAAACAAGTTTCCAGAAATTCCTGATCCAAAAATATAAGCTTTGCAAAAAAAATTGATATATGTGCTATTCAAGTGGCGAGGAGTGTATGTATGTACATAAATAGTAGAGTGACGATACTATTTTCGGAGTTCCTATTTTATGGTCAATTATGGACCATGGTCTAATTTTGTCACTATATGTATTATAGTTATGAGCGTTATAGTAATTTTCTGACGGGGGCGTCTATGAAAGCTAGTGCCAATTATGAATCGATCCGCATAAAATTTGACAAAATATGTTTATTTCGAATTTCGCAGCTATACTTTAATTTTGAAGCAAGTTATTGAGCGTTATAGCCATTTTCTGAAGGGCCCTTATATGCGTAGTATTCAACAATACTTCGATGTATTACAAACAGAATGATGGTGGGAATAAAAATATTTTCTTTGACAGGGATTTTAACTATTTTTTAAAGATCTATTATTCAACATATATAAAATTTATTAATATTTTATGCATTTTTATATTGCATCTCAAATGTGATCAGTTATGTACATAGATATTTTAAATTCTGTCAAATGCATAAAATATTAATAACATTTAAAACTTTTTCCATACAGAACGTTTGAAAATAAATCAAAAAAATAGATGTAATGCCCGCGACAAAAATATATTTTTAATATTTTGCATAAAAAGGTTCGAATGTTCAATCGACTTACGCACTTTAAAAAAAAAATTTAAACGGGGAGAACAATTTTTCTGTGAAGGTTTTCTGTGTTTCTGGAATTCATGTTATATAAAAAACGCATATTTATTGCTTTTATCTCTTTTGATTAAAACCGGTTAGCCGGTTTTAAAAAAATGATCAACCGAAAACCAGTTTTTTGAAAATGCCATTTCCGGTAATTCCGAAAACCGGTTTTTGAAAAAAGTCAAATAATATCGATCTCCCTAATGTTTCCATTATTATCACTAGTTCAGATTCTCCAACAAAAAGTAAATAATAACAAGTGAGAGTGTTATATTCGGCTGTGCCGAATCTCATATTCCCACCATCAAAGCGTATGCCGTAAAAGGAATGCTTCCCAAATTAACTGAAATGGATTTTATATAATAGATAGGGTTAATTATTTTTAGATCGATTTTGGTTCATATGAAACATCTTTACATCGAATATCACTTTCCGAATGAAATTCGGTAGGAAGATTTACATTCCTATAAATGTTTCTTATATAAAATTTCCTAATTTTTCACATATTTTTAAGTCAGCAATGATTGTTAAAGTAATTTTCTTATGGACCGATCCTCAATTAATAGAGAGTAGAGAGATTTTAACCCGTATAAAACATATGTGTGTCGAATTTCATCGCTTTTCTCGTATTTCTGAAGGTGATCTTGTATGGGGGTAGGGTCAATTATGGGCCGATCGACATAAAACTTGATAGATAGATTTTGGATCATAAGGGACTTACTTATGCCAAATTTGATCTCTATACTAGTATTTTTAAGCCAGTAATGAACGGTAAGGTCATTTTTTGAACGGGACCTTATATGGTGGGTAGGGTCAACTATGGACCGATCCACATAAAACTTTGATAGAGTGATTTTGGCTTCATTGAAACTTATGTGTGTCGTATTACATCACTATACTCGTATTTTTAAGCCAGTCATTTTCTGAAGGGGACCTTTTATGGGGAGGTATGGTCAATTATGGGCCGATACTCATGAAATTTGGTAGGGAGATTTTGGATCATATGAAACTTATTTGTGTCGAATTTCATCGCTATACTCGTACTTTTAAAACAGATGTGCCCGTTAAAGCTATTTATCGGCGGTCTACTTGTATGGGGGCTATCCGAAAACGTGGACCGATATTGCCCATTTTCAATACGAAACAAATCTATAGAGAATATTTGTGAAAAATTTCAATCCTCTAGCTCAATCCGTTCGGACACTATCGTCCTTTCAACAGACAGACGGACGAACAGACATGGCTAGATCGCCTTAGAA